ACGTCGCGGGTGGCCAAACTGCGACCGTTGCCCACTTTGCAACCAAGTTCAAGAGTCCGCGGCACACCTCCTGTTCAAGTGTCGCTTCTCCATCCGAGTATGGAAGGAGCTTCTTGCATGGCTGCACCTTGATGTTGACATCGCCTAGGGCTGGACGAAAAGCTCGAAGCTCGTGAGCATAATGAAAGCTCGATTGTTTGGCTCGTTTTGGCTCGTGCTCGTTAGTTAATGAACCAAGCTGAACAGTGTTTTTTGCTTGTTAAGATTAACGAGCTTAATGATCGAGCAAATGAGTTTCGCGAGCTAACTCGTTTAGCTCGATAATTTCTAGTAGTTTTTTGGGGGGAATTTCGAGCGCCCACTAATAGTTTGGCCGGCCTAAAGGCCAAGCGCCCCAGCCCACTTCGGGCCACACCTCTCCCAGAGACCAAGACCTAGGAGCCACCAACGACCAAACCCAGCCGCCAGGACCAGCAGGAGACCTAGAGTCCACGACTCGTCTCCAGTCTCAACGAGCCAGCCGCCAGCGCCAGGAACCAGAGGAAGTGACGAGGGCATAGGGCAGTACAGCGGCGGCCGGCGGCCGGTGACCTTCCGGCATCCAAATCTCTAGTATCCCCGTCCCCATTCACCTCTCAACTCGAACATCTCAATTCCCCTAGTCCCGACCTCTTGCATCGATCGTCTCTAACTCTGGCAATCCCCATCTGCATCTGCGAGCCCAGTGCAAGAATGGATGAACGCCGGCGGTTAGCACCTTCTGCCACAGCTGCAAGCATGGAGTCGCAGAAGAAACGAGTTGCCTCTGATTGTGCGTCACGGGACTCTCCATCCACCGCAGCACAGCCTGATCCTCTTCTTCTTTCACAAGCGCAGAAAAGGGCAAGGGTGGATTCAACAATGTCTGATGTAGATGATGCCAGATCAGCAGTGGTAATTTCCTATTGTGCTCATGTGTTAGATGGTTAAATCTCAACAATTCAGTTCATATGAATGTGTACTCCAGTAGTGTTGTTATTATTTAAATGCAGTATAGACTACTAAATTTTATTTGTCTGTTCCCATTGCAATTTTTTTTATTGATGTCTAATGTTTATGGAACTCTAGTTACAATGTAGATTAATAGAACTTCATTATTCATATTCCTAATCAATCATGGAGTGATGACTTGTTAACTTTGATTATCTAAATCATTCTATTTCTTTCTGCATAGGATGGTGATATAAAGGAATGGGTTGAGGTTAACGAAGGATACGAAGAGGTTGATGAGGCAGATGCGTATTACATGGATGATGATATGTCAGATCCTTCTCTAGGATTGGGTGACAAAGGAAATGATGTACAAGCTGAGGTCAATGACGATGAGAAAACAAAGAGAGGGATAAGGAAAAAGGCACTAGTTCGTGTTGGTAATAAGGTTAAGGTGAGGAAAACTAGAGTTAAGCGTGCACCATGTTGGCAGCATTTCAAGGAGGTCAAAGCTGTATGCAAGAAGAAACCGGGGGCGGTCGTCACGAAGGCAAAATGCTTGCATTGTTGTAACTTGTTTGCTTATACTCCAGGGGGACCAACTACTAGTCTCAATCAGCATGTAGATGTTTGTGCGGACTATCCAAACAAGAAGGGAAGACAACAACTACAAGGTACAGTCAATTTGGATCCTGAAAAGCCAGGTGCATCTCTTATAGTGAATCATGAATATGATCATGCACAAGTTGTTCAAATCATAGCAAAGATGATAATTGTGCATGAATATTTAGGATGGTAGAGCATGCTTGGTTTAATATCCTCATGAGATATATGAATGCATCATACAAGTTTATTGGTAGGAAGAAAATTAGAGCCGAATGCATGAAGGTGTATCTTTCTGAGAAAGAAATCCTTAAGAAGCAGCTAAGGTCTGTTGAGAGCATTAGTTTGACAAGTGATATATGGACTTCCAACCAGAATCTTTCCTACCTAGCTGTTGTTGCTCACTACATAAATGAGGATTGGGTTATGCAACGTCGTGTTTTAAACTTGATAGAGTTAGACCCACCTCACACAGGCTTTGTCATAGCTCAAGCTGTTTTTGAATGCTGCCAAGAATGGAAAATAGAAGATAAGATCATGACAATGACCATGGATAATGCTGCCTTGAATGATTCTGCTGCTAAGAAATTGATGGACAAGTTCACTGCTAGGAAATCAGCAAAATTCATATCTAAGTACTTCCATGTTCGCTGTTGCGCACACATAGTGAATTTGATAGTCAATGATGGCATGGAACCATTGCAGCCTTTGATAGGCAACCTTAGAGAAACTATCAAGTACTGAAAAGATCTCCATCACGCAAGTCGAACTTCTTGTCAGGTTGCAAGTCTCTTAATATTAAAGTTGAAAAAGGATTATGCCTAGATGTAGCAACTAGATGGAGTTCTACATACAGAATGATAGATGCTTGCACTTTGTATAAGGAAGCTTTCCATGAGTATGCACAATCAGATCCTAATTATGAATGGCAGCCCGATGATGAAGATTGGGTACTATATGGCAGAATTCAACCCATCTTGAAATCATTTGCTGAGGTAACTACTATACTTTCCCCACTACCAACATTTTTTATCCATACATCATGAATGTTAAGATTGCTATAGTACAGCATGCTATGTTCGGAGATGACAATTTGAAAATGATGGGGGAAGCCATGCTTGATAAGTTCGATAAATATTGGGATAGCAGTGTTGTGCCAGAAAACAAAAATCGGAAAGATAAAAAAAAGGTAAAGAACAATGTTATGGTGATTGCCACCATTCTTGATCCCAGATTTAAGATGAAACTTGTGGACTATTGTTTTAAGAAAATGTATGGTAAAGAGAGGGGTAGTAGTGAGATGGAAGATATCAAAACAGAGTTCTTTGATCTGTATGCCACATATGAGATGGAAAATCGTCAGCATGAGGCTTCTAACACCAATGAGCAGAGTTCAATTTCAAGTAGGCAAGCATCTACATCTATGACCACATTGTCGAGTGGGTTTCAATCCTTTCTAGAGGAGACAAATTCGAAGCCATGCAAATCTGAATTGACTAGTTATCTTGAAGACAAGACTCATCCCATTAATGATCCAAATTTCACATTACTTGACTAGTGGAGGTTGAATGCTCATAGATATCCTATTGTGGCAAAAATGGCAAAGAAGTTCTTGACTATACCAGCTACTAGTGTTTCATCAGAGTCAACATTATCTATAGGAGGTAGAGTTCTCGATGACTACTGTAGTTCTCTACTCCCAAGCATGGTTGAGGCACCTGCTTGTGCTTCTAGCTTCATCAAAGGATCAAAAGAAAACCACATTAGGCCTACAACCATAGTGGTAATATTAGTTGCTCTTTGTTGTCTACTACTTATAAGCTTTGACATACTATTTCTAAATGGAATGCCTAACTGAAACTACATTTCCCTTTGTAGGAAGATGACATTGATGATGATGTTGAGTTCATTCCATTTCCTGAATCTATTGTGGAAAGCAACTAGCAGGTTGGTGCTTGGCTACTGGTCGAGACTTGTAATTTTTATTTTGCAACTTTATTTTCTTTCTCTTGTACTATTTATATTGCAATGCCCATTTTGTCTATTAAACCTTCTCCTATTTAAGGTCTACTGCACTACTGTAAGAGAAACCTGAAAGTTTACTTTCTTTGTTTCAAAATTTGCATGTAGGAAAACTCTGCATGTTCATGAAGGCATCATACGCAAAAGGTTGAAGGGCTCCTGGAATGTTCATTCGCTACTGGCTGTAGCGTGTTGCTACTATCTTTAAAATTTATTAAATTATGCAAAGTGAAAGTTGCACCAGACTTGTTGGTGTTTGCTGCTGCATACTAGACTACTAGTGTTGCTACTTTATGCTTTTGTGATGGACCAGACTCGAGTGGCGTTGCTGCTGCATAGTAGTCTGTCTTGCTATGCTACCGTTTGACTCCAACGTCCTTTTATTAATTTATGCTATTGTGAATTTGTGATGGAAACCTTCTCTGTTTGGGGTTTGGCAATTTGGCTGTAGCGTGTTGGTATTATTTTTTAAATTCAAATGATGCAAAGGTGCACTAGCCATCAGACTTGTGTGTTGTTGCTGTTGCGTACTAGTGTTGTTAGTTGTTACAATTAGAATGTAGTTGTCTAGTTTATGACATTGTGAATTTTTGATGGGATCACATGATTCTTCTGCGTACTGTGTTGTTTGTACCTTAACGAGTACTCGTGAAAGCTCATGAGCATAACGAGCTCATAACGAACCGAGCTGAACAGAGGTTTCGGTTCGTTAATATTAATAAGCTTATTGATAACGAGCTTAATGATAACGAGCCAAACAGCTCGTTAATCCAGCCTCATCGCCCTTTGGATGAACCATGCCACTGTGAGATCTTGGTGGGAGGTCCTCACCAACAACGTGCAACCGCGGAATGCCTTGGCCTCTTTCCGCCTTGGCCTCTTTCCTCCATCTTGTTAGCTGAGAGATTTGGAAGGAGCAAAATGCACGCGTGTTCAGGACCAAGGCAGCACTGGTCGCAGTGATCGTACAGAATATTGAGGAGGCTTCTATCTGGGCTCTGGCAGGAGCCAGGCATTTGCGTAATTTGATGCTGCGAGAGTAGACCTTTGCCCCTTTCCCGCTTTTGCGGCGCTGTGATGTAACAAACTCTTCTCCTTATTCAATGAAAATGGCAAATCTTTTGCCTTGTTTCAAAAAAAAAAAAAATTGCTAGCCAATAGAGATGCACGGGTTGATCACTAGTTGCACTAACTGAGAAAGGGATGGTAACACCTAAGATGTAACGGCAGTGGCAAAAATGTAAGAAATTTAACAGTGTAGTGGCATAAGCAATGGCACAATCATAATTGCAAGAGAAACTAGTCGCATCGACCTAAATTTCCCATATAGTTGGGCAAGCGTGACCAACCATAAATCATGTCCAAAGAAGCCACGGAAGTACGGAACCTAGCTTAGAAGCTACAGCTGTGTGCACAATATTCTACAAGATTCCAACCATCTGTGATACAGTCATATGGAAATTGTAAAACTGAAAGGAAAGAAGTCATTCATGTCATTCGATATCCAGCAAAGAAATAAGTTCGTAACTAAACACTACACAAGACAAAGCTTTAGAATGATTCAGAGACAAGAACAGATCAGTCCAAGCAGAACAAAATCTAGCAACGAGGGAATAAACTGTACTCTCAAATATCTACACTGCAGTACATCAGATACTATGCTTCAGACGATTATGGACTCAATGTTGTCAACCCCGGAGGTTCATAAACAGACACATTGGTGTACTAAAAACATCAAAACTGTACAACTACATTTGGGAAAAATATAAAATAGCCATTACACTTCGAAGGAATAAAAAAAATTGTATATATAGTTGATTGGGTATTATTTACTTTGGTCCTTGACTTTTACAAAATGTTTTCTTTTCATGCAATGTTTTTATAACCAGGCACAGTAAAGTAGTCAAGTGAGAAAATGAAACATGTCTGAGACTATTTTAGATACTAAGTGGGTGGGACACATATTCAATACTTATGTACGAAGATATTACTTGCATGCAGTTTGTCTCTACTAACAAATTCTTACACATTTGCTATTTTTGTTAGGGCAAGGCCTTGAACACTAAACAACACTTGCATGCACAAGAATTTTAAAAGATGTGAAGTCGAAATCTTACAGGAAATCTTACATTTGTTTCCAAAATAAGGATTGGATAACTGGCCACATGGCGTATCAGAGTGTATTGGGCCAAAAGGTAACTTTGTAGTTCATAGAGCTTTATAGCACCAATATAAAAGGATACCACTATTACTTACCCCCTCTGTAAAGTATATGATCTACAAAAGTCTTGTATTACTTTACAGAGGGACTAGCATAGAACTTATAAAAAATAGACTAATAACTTGCTAGCACGTCTTATTTTCATAATAACGAAACCACATATATAAGGTGTTGGTCATGCTGGGATAATGGCTACATTTCCTCCAGTAACATTAAAGGTATGCTGCTACATCAATTTAATGTTTGTTGCATGCTATGCTCAATTGCACAGAGCTTTTTCTACCGTTCAACATAAATAATACTGTCAGTATGAGACATATTCATTTTCAGACCAAGGCGGCCACCTAATAAAATGCATGCCATCCAGTGAAAGTTTTGCCTATATCCAAATAGATGAGTAACATAGAGAACATTACATGGAAATGAAACTCTAATGACCATCTAGTATATTTGGTGTTCAAATATCATAAGCCATGTCATATTATTTCTCAATGTTAATTATCGCGTATGTTGCTGCTTGTGGAGTATCTCTTAACGCAAGAAACACAGATGATTCACTAGAAAATTGGAAATCTTGGAAAACACTCGGGACATATCATATGCAAGAGCAGTAAGAAATCCAGATGAGCCAAAACTAATGTTCGGAGATATCATAGGCCGATAGACCTATCTTAGTAGGGTTTAGATAGGCTGACAATCTTGTAGGCTGTGACATTGTGCATTATTTTCTGGGACATTTGATAAGCTACCTGGCTCGAACACTGTCCCTGACCCGCAAAAAGTGAGGAAGAGAGACTTAAACGTAAGGCAAGGCAGTGAGCTGATGATTAGCACAATTAAGTTACAAAAAACAAATAACTACTCCCTTTGTACCGAAAAATATGTCGTTGAAACAACTGTAGTTCAGCTTTTCCAGCGACATATATTTCGGTACCGAGGGAGTACCTACAAACATTGTACCAAACTATGTCGAGCATCGCGCACTAAGACGAAAAAATATCAGCCAGCCAAGGAAAAAAGCTAGCAATAATAATGCCAATCATTTGGTGGTTCTTTCCCCAAATTTCGCACCTTTACGCATCAGGTACTATGCTGAGCACAACAAACTGTAATGTTTCCAATCTCAAAACTTAACACACATATCACATAAATTCCTTGTCTTATTTTTTGAAACATGATACTACTACTTAATAAGCAACAACAGTACCTACTGGGTGCCATCCTCGGGAAAGCGCGATCCGACCCCGCCGTGCACATGCTGCCCTCCGGCGCCGGCAGCCGGGGTTGAGACGCCACCGCCAGGTCCCGCAGCTGAGGGCCCTCCGGCGCCGTGCTGAAGCTCGATAACGAGCCAGCGGACGGCCTTGCTCATCTGCTCGAGGCGGACGGCGCTGATTGGCTTGATGCCGGGGGCAGCCAGCGCGACGCTTGCGGGCGCGGAGGAGGAAGAGGAAGATCCCGTGGCCTCGTCGACGAGACACTCGGAGCCTATGCGCTGGCGGATGGACTCAACGAGCTCCTCGGCGTGGTCGCAGGAGACGCGGAAGAGCTCCCATCGCTGCTTGAAGGCTTCAAGCGCCGCGTCCGTGGCTGCCGTCTTCTGGCCGCCCGACTGCTCGCGAGCTTCCATCACGGCCACCGCAGCCGCCACGAACTCCTTATACGCCGCGCTCAGCTCGTCCACCGTCGCGTCCATTCCGCCGCCCGAACGTTTCTTGCGCATCATCCAACACGCTCCGCTGACGCTATAACCCGAAAATCCCCCAATTTGAGCACGGTTGAAGATCCAGGCCGTCCATTTTGTTTGGCTGTCTAGGGTTCTCATAAATATGAGAAAAAAATTATGAGCCGGTATGACAACGACATCAATATCTTTGTTACACCATAGCCTTTGGTGTTATACATACTGAACAAATTAGTAGAGCTCGTGCACGTCAGTTAAATTATCAGGTACTTTCGTCTCTTGGTAATGATTCTGATGTTTATTAGAATATGATGCCGCCTAAATTGGATGCATTTGTCTTGCTTACAAAGAAAGGGCCTAACTTGGATAAAAAGGATGAACATTGGAGTAAGATCAAACATGAAAATGATGGCATGTGCAAGGGGACAATAACGGTGTTACAAGTGATGATTTCAGTACTTTGAAGCCATCATAATGAGTGCATGAAGCCTTGGACGAAATATACAAGATGTCACTTCATAAATTTCGTCCAGAGTCTATTATAGGTGTTGCGTCACCTTATCTTTGGGCCAAACCCATGTAATTTCGAAATAATTGAGTATAGTCTATTTTTAGAATCCGTATGTGTGGAGAAACAAGATATAGGGTTGGTTTCGGACCCCTCCTTCAAGGGCCACGAAATCCCCCCCCCCTCTCTCTTCCTCCATATATACAGCCCTTGGGGCACCGTTTAGACTTTGGGTTTTGTTTAGATTAAAAATTCGTCATAGTTGCAACTTCGCGTACTTTGTTTGTATTCAGCGACCAGACAAAAGCGTCACAGAACCCCACCTTCATTAATAAAGCTTTCCTCTTATATTCACGATATCCTAATTGCAATCTCAGTTTCTTGCTAGTTCTTCGTTTGCTCGCAGGAAAACAAACCATCGTGGTCAGGTTAATCGTGCTCCGGCGTGGTCAATAACCCCTCGAAAGTTGGTTTAGCGATTGCTAAGGCGTGACGTCTCGTACGTTCGT